ACTCAAGTGTATTTACACACACAAACGCTTACTCATAATTATATAAATATATAAGTTAATTTCCAGGTCACCCTAAGTGCACTTATTATGCTACACAATTACAGTTATGCATTGCTTACTTACTCCACTCTCTCTCTCCGTTCTACTTTCTCACACATTCTTAGCTCTTTTAATTAAGTTGTCATAATATTGTTTAGTTGAAATTAATAATTATATCCTTCTATCTATTGTCGGCATTTAATGCGTTTATGACCACATGACTTTTCAATTACAATGAAATACGAAAATTAATAAAAAGTCTTTAAGTATAGTAACGGTTGTAACAAAATGAGCTTCCAGCCAATTTAAATTGATAAGTTGTTATATATTTGTACATATGTATAGGCATCAGCTGAACAGTCAATTGCTTTGGTTCGCTCATTAATAAATCGTTAAGTACAACATAAATCGAGGCTTATTGCAATTGTTATTTGTAAATGATAAAAAAGCAGTTTCTCCATTTTTCGAAGTTAGTCTCCGTAATCGAAATATATACCTTCAAAGTTCGAAATTTGGGTTATTGAAAAACATTATATTTAATTATTTCAAGAAGTTATCAAAAAAACAGGAGAAAACGTTAACTTCTGTTGCACCGAAGCTATAATACCCTTCACAAATAAAAAACTTTTCATACGAAAACCAAATTTTGAACAGTCAGTGTGTATGGCAGTTATAGCGATCAGGTTTAAAAAAATTAATCGGATATTATAATGTTGCTTTAGTCAATAATCCACCCCAAATTTAGAGAAGATATCCCGTCGATTAAAAAGTTTTCCAAACAAGAACGGTCAGTTCATATGGCAGCTCTATGCTATAGTGATCCGATATCGGCGTTTCCGACAAATGAGCAGCTTCTTGGAGAAAAATTAACGTTTGCAAAATTTCAGATCGATATCTCAAAAGCTGAAAGAATACTTCGCATATATATTTATAAATAGCCAGACGGAAAGACAGACGGACATAGATAAATTGACTCAGCTCACCACTCTGATCAAGATTTAGAAGATTACAAACTTCGAAGGAAACTTAGTTCAGTAATTAAAGTCGGATTTTTGAAAAAAAAAATATATTTAATCTGTTTCAAAAATACTGGCCCGACTTTAAAACCTTACAGCATTTGCCACATAAGCTTGACCCAAAAATTTTACACACCATCGATATAAGAAGATACTTTGATGATATGCATATTTTTTTTCAATAAGCTCAATTTCGAAATGCAAAAACAAATATAACAATTTCGGAGGGAACCTACGTAAAATGGAGAAATTAGGTTTTGGTAATTAATATGATTACTAATAGGTGGGTCGCCCTTAAAAAGGAATTGAATTAGCTGTAGAAAAAAAGTATTAAATTTCATTAGAAAATTTTACATTTATTCTGGAGTTTGAACTAGCTGAGGACCTTAGCATTTAGTTCGACACTGCATACAGAGACTCCTATGAACCATAAAAGTCCACTGCAACCAATGCTTTTTCTAAAAAATATATGGCCGGTGATATCAAATACCATTACAAACTAGGTTCTACGCGATCTAAGTAACGCATCGAGAAAGGGCAACTTGATGGAATCTACTTTCCCCTACCAAAGGAGAGACGTGAGACCAAAAAATTAGGTCTAGTTATAATAACTACTAGACATTGGTGTGTCTCCCGAGACAATGCTTGTTACTTTGTAACACTTGTGGATTATGATTGGTAAAAACTGAAACTAATGCAATTTTCTTCAGAAATTGTTCGATTTAGAAACGTTATGCTGTCACTAATATGATATTTGAGCTTCTTGATTACTATGAGGTTGTTCAGAGAGATATAGTAGACTTCAAGTTGAATTTTTTTTATCCATTTTTTTCATGAGAAATTTTTCCTTGAAAGAACTTTCTTTTTTTTCAAAAGTGTGTCACATATGTGTCATATATAATATGTTAACTTTAGTAGGAGTTTTTGTGTACAAGAGCAGTAAACGCTCAGCCAAATAGACGATCGATTCATCTCTATAACAAATCTCACTTCCGATTTAGTATTATTACAAGAGACCTTTATCAAAGCATCCTTAAATATTTAACTAAGAAAAGGCTCACTTAACCTAACCTTAAATTTGGAAGAAAAATTAGTTGATTTAATTGAAAAAGTCTGCTCCCACCTGATTAGAAATAAAAATTTATTACACTTTTTTGAATAACATGTCCGCCTACCATATAACATAATAATTTTTCAAGCATTTAAGCAAATAAACCTCAGGAAAACCAGCAAGAATAACAATAATAAATGTATAATTGAAAAACAAACCACAAAATGATTTCGTGCAAAAATGTCGGCGAAGGACAGGAGGCGCCTAAGCAAAATATAATAAAATAAAAATACTTTGCCACAAAAGTGACCAAACGTTCATTGCCAGCGACGTGGCTGCAGGAAAAGCCGCTAGCTTGCGGAGTAATACACACCTTTTTAAGGTTTTTCTCTGACCTTTTCTACGTTTTTAGTATTTTGGTTTGGACTCGTTTGCTGTTTTAAGGCTTCGTTCTTTGCGGTGCTTATACATATATTCCTGCGGCACTACAAACATTTGTTCCTTTGCCTTGAGTGCAGTTATGTCTGTCACGTGTGGGGTTTCCTTTTAACGCTTGGATAGTTGTTGGGCTGGCTTGTGGCTGAATTTTTTTGCTTTTTGCGATTTCATCGGCCTTCTCAAGTACATATTTGTTTTCGTTATTGAATTCGTTTCAGAATTTCATACGGAAGTAAAACTATTTCGCTTGGATTTGCTTCAAGTATCGCTATTTCTTTCTTGTACCTTTCGACACTTTCAGATGTGACATGTGATTGAGTCTATAATATGTGCCACCCTTGCGATTCTATGCACTATTTTGTTATTTAAACAGGGTTCGTCAAAAGGATTTAGTTGTTTCAGTTATGAAAATAAAAAATATTTTGTGAAGAAATTTTAAAAGTTATATGTTATCTCCAGCTGATCTCCAACCAGGAACTCTATATCCCTTTCTATGTTCTTTCTAGTCCGATATTGAGTCTAAGAGAAACGCTTTACAGTCCTATTCCAATACGTCTTATTTGAATTTTCTAATATAGTACCATATATTAATTCTATGATATTTAATGCAGTAGAACAAAGCTATCACATGGAAAATCTTCTATAGCTGTCAAAAGGTCTACTCTTTGTAAAATAATACCGGCGAGTATCGAGTCATCACGGAATCTTAACTGTAAACTCCTGCAACTTATTTTACGACTTAATTCAAGACCTGTTAATTTGCGTTATTTTAGTGACAAGTTTTCAAGTTGTTCTTCTTTGCTTATATATTTCTATAGTAATATATTCTCCACTTATAGAACCCTATTTTATTCACCTTTTCAAAAGTGACTACCCTTCTTTATGATTCATGAAAAGTGAGGTCATGGTATTTGTAATACCACCCGCGCTTCTAACTTATTTTTAAATATTTGCGATTTGTAACGGTTAGCTGTTATATTTTTGTGCAGCTTTAATATTTATTACTACTGCAAAATGTGTCAGAAGTCTTCAGCTTTGTTTAGTTTTTGTAAAGGATACAAGTTTTTTCTATAATTGTTTTCACATGTTCATGTCTAATAGAGACAAAGCCATTCTTTGCGCAAATAGTGTGATATTTCAAAGAAAACGGATACTAATGAGGACATAACTATTTCAATTAAAGAAGTGGGGACTGTTTTGGTAGTAATTCAACCCCATGGGCTATTTGCTGAGGTAACACTATTACTAACATACAAACTATTAAACTGTATTCATCTACTTTTGTAAGGGAAGTCTTCGGCGGTACTGATTCATTTTAGTCACCTCAGTTGAGATACAGATAACGTATTCTGCATTATCTGTATTTCCAAATATAATTGAAGAACGTTGTTTAAATTAAACCAATACAATATTTTTGAATAAATTTTAAAAATTTGCATATATTTTTTTGAATTTTTTTATTTTATTAAATTACCTACCTGAAATTCCAAAATTAACTTGAAATATGAAACTATGTAGAGCAATTTGTGAAGATCATTTTGAAAATATATTAAAAATGTTTTTTAGGAGAAAAAAATAATAATTTATTCAGAAAATTATTTTTACACCTTGAAGTATTTTATTCAAAAAATGTTAATCAAAAATATTAAACTTTTGATTTTGAACAATTAAACAAATTTTATAAAAATTTAAATATTATTTAGAAAAAAATGTTATACCCTGAACAGTGTGTATTAAGTTTACCACGAAATTTGTAACACTCAGAAGGAAACGTTGGAAAACCTCTGGAGTACTATATGATCAGCGTGACGAGCTGAGTCAATTAAACCATATCCGTCTGTCCATCTGTCTATATATACATGAACTAGTCCCTCAGTTTTTGAGGTATTAATCTGAAATTTTGCAAACTTCCCAAGAAACTGCTCATTTGTCCGAGTCATAGATATCAAATCCGATCAGATAGCATATACATAGATACAAACATAAACTGACCGATCCGAATCAAGTTCTTATGTAGAAAACCTTTTTATTTGAAAACCCTTTTTATGTTATAAAATTTGCACCTGTGACGGATATTATAGCTTTGGTGCAACCGAAGTTATCTTTTTTCCTTGTTTTTGTAATATTTACGAATCTGATTCAGATATTTAAACATCATTTGAAATTTAAAAAAATTGTATAATATAATATATAATGTATAATAAAATAAAAACTTTCCAAAAGCTGAATAGTCTACTAAATATTATTAATATTTATTGCAAAATAGTTGTCTCTTGATATTAAAAAAAATTTTAGAAATATATTTTCAAACCGAAAATTTTTTATTTGGTTAAAATATTTAATTTAATAGAAAATATTTAACTTTCTTATCAAATCTTATCCAATAAAACAAAATTCAAAATTTATTAGAAACATTTCATAATTGTTAAAAACAATAATTAAAAAATATTTTATCTGAGTTTTTAATACTTTTTATTAAATAGTTTTTTCACAAAAATTTTAAATAATTTTGAAATAGCTTAATAATTTCTATAATTTGTCAGTTTTTAAATTTCTTTAATATTTGGTCATATAATTACTTATTTACATGTGTTACTAGCAGCAAATCGTATCTAAATTTTACTTCTCCTACTTTTTGCGGTATATTTCTATTTTATTTAAAATGAGAAGCTTTTTTTTTTTAATTTTTCTAAATATATATTTATGGCAATATACGTTTCCATTAAATGCATCTTTAACACTAATCGATGTGTCATACTTAAAATATATGAGTTCAAAACATAACAGTAAATAAATGTATATGACTATTTGAGTTATAAATTGCCATTGCTACCAATAACTTTGTATAAAATATTTGGAATGCATATTAGTGGAATTGCACTTAAAACTAAAATACCGTTAATTATAAACCTAAAAGCAAGATATCTGAATACATCTGCACATACATTCTATATTCACTAAAAAGATTTAGCTTACTGACAGTTGTGTGTAAAAGCCCAAATTTTTCTCCTGCTTTATCTTTTTGGCCGCACACTCGCTGGCTGTCAACATCATTCATCATATTCTACTAACTAAACTAAGTAGTTTTCTTACATTTTGACATCAATATGAAAAATCGTTAACATAAATATTTTCTGCGCCGCTGAAAATTGCAGCAATTTATATTTTCTGCATCAACCCCCAAAACTCTAATGCACGATCTTACCTTACAACTACATCTGTTCATTATAACAACCACAGCTACAATGACAACTTTACTACAAACTTATTATTTGCTAAGTCCTACGGATCCCTTTGACTACCGCACATACAAATCAACCTGTGAGGACCACAGCTCAGCTGGTTAGCGCAGTGAAGACTCAGCTGTTGTCTTTCGCCACTGCTTTGTGCGCGCATTGCGGGCATCGTTGCTGTGCCGCGCCTACAAACGCTGAGCCGACCGCCCACACCGCTCCAGACTGGTGGTAGGGGTGCTAATGCAGCTGCTTATACCGCCTCTATTTTGGGTTGTAGAATTTGTAGTTGTTGTACTCGTTTTTTCTTTAAACTCTTGTTACTCTCGTTTTTGTTGTTGCTATTTCGCTACCCAGTGTTCTCGTAGCTCTGGCTGTTGCTTTTGGAACTATTGTTGTTATAGTAGATTTTGTTGTTGGCGCATTCACCACTGTTGATTTTCTTGTCGTCGCCGCTTTTGTATGTCTTGTTTCCCTCAAGGTATTGCCGTCATAGCCTCGAGTGCCATTAATTTTCTCGACAGCTGGCAACATCGGCAACGCCGAGAACTGGACTCTTGTTGCTGTTGCTGTCGTACTTGTGGTGCTATGGGATGTAGGGGCTAACGCTCCGGCATTACGTCCAAAGGGTGGCGCATCATTTGTGTCCAAAAAGAACTTACCACGCAGTCTAACGGGAAAGGCACAGCAAAGTGGGTATAGATACCCAAATGCGTTAGTTTTCTTCATTTTGGGGATAGGTGTGTAAATGAGTTGAAAAGCTTCAATGCGCTGGTAAGATGTGATAGACGTAAAGGTGTGTGGGGGGAATTATGAAAATAATAAATCTGCTATGAGAATTCTTAGTAAGTAAGCTGTGATTTGGCAGCCAACTGACAGCAGCTTAGACGAACTGATGGCTGCCTACTCAATAAGTGAAAAACTCAGTTGAAGAAGGTTCGACGAATATAATATAATATTAAGTAAGGTAAAAAGTTCGTTCGGTTTTTTATTGATTTTTCAAAAGATGATAACTTTGTGTACATTTGTCCGATTTAAGTCCAATATGCGCCGTTTTGTTCGTAAAATTGTTGCCAACGAGATGCCAACTTCATTATACCCCTCTCGTAGAAGACTGCGTCCCTATTGCCAAAAAACTCGGAGAGCCAATTTTCACAGGCCTCTCTTGAGGCCAACTTCTCACCATTAAGGACGTTCGCCATGGACAGGAAAAGGTGGTAATCACTTGATGCCAGGTCCGGACTATAAGGTGGGTGCATTAGAACCTCCCATCCGAGCTCCAAGAGCTTCTGGCGAGTCACCAAAGACGTGTGTGGCCTGGCGTTGTCCTGATGAAACACAATTCGGCCTCTGTTGATCAAAGATGGCCTCTTCTGGATGAGTGCTGCCTTCAAGCGGTCCAGTTGTTTGCAGTAGAGGGCCGAATTGGGCGTTTGGCCATAGGGGAGCAGCTCGCAGTAAATGATTCCTTGCCCATCCCACCAAACACACAGCAAAACCTTCCTGGCCGTCAATCAGGTCTTGCCCACCATCTGGGCCGCTTCCCCGAGCTTTGCACACGACCGTTTGCACTCGATGTTGTCATAAGTGACCCATTTTTCATCGCCAGTCACAATCCGCCTCAGAAACGGGTCGATTTTGTTGCGATTCTGCAGCGATTTGCAGATGGAAATTCGGTCCATCATGTTATTTGCGTTAGTTCGAAACACCCAAACATCGAGCTCCTTTTTGAATCCAAGGTTATGCAAATGGTTCCAAACTGTTTTCTGGCTTATCTTTAGTTCCTCAGCAATTAAATAAGTGCTAATGGTCTGTTTCCACTATTTTCATGTTTTTATCGCAATTTTCGACGACAGGCCTCCCAACGCGTGGTGCATCTTTGACATCGAAATTACCGGAACGGAACCTAGCAAATCAATTGTGCTACATGTTCGTTTACAGTATCGGGCCTATAAACTAAATTAATGTTTTCAGCCGCTTTGGCTGCTTTTTCGCTTTGATCTCTTTGTTGGTGTCCATCTTTGACGAGCGCTCACAACGAACTGAGTAAATCAATCGAAAAACTGTCAAAGACAAACTTTTAGCGCGAATAAACACGTTTATAGTATGACATGATGCGACACGTAACACTAGTACTATGGACAATAACGCCATCTCTTAGATAAAAACCGAACGAACTTTTTACTTGACCTAATATATAAGAATATAAGAAAAATAAAGCAGAAGGAATAAAATGGTAGTGAATAATGATTAATGACTATTATAATGATTAATGATTACTAATTGATAAATGATTTCTGTATGTTGATTAATAATTAATGAACAATGATTACTTGTCAATAATTACAGTTTACATGATTCATGAATCAATATTAATTATTCATGATCAGTGATTACTGGGTAATGATTACTTTTTTATATTTATTGACTAGCGACTAATGATAAATAATTGTCGATTAATAAATTATCAATTAACAGTTAATCATTAAAGATTGATAATAAGTGGATAATATGATTCATGAGCAATGATTACTGAATACTTATTAATGTTTACTGATTTATTATTCATGATTAATGTTAAATTAGTAATTTTTATTGACAAATAAATACTAACTAACAATTAATTGGTAATGGTTATTAATGAATTAGTGATTATTGTCAAATGAATAAGAGCAAAGGATTAGTGATTACCTTTTCACGAGAAAAGATATCTATTAAAAATTAGATATTGTTATTTATTAATTAGTGATTCATGACTAGTAACTTATGATTAATACTTGTATGATTATTTTTTATTGAATAATGATTGCTATTTGTTGATTATTTTACATATATTATATTACTATAATCTACAATATATTCGCACCCACCTCCGATCAGCTGCAATGCCCATATACAGCCCGCTATTGCCTTCTTTGCACCTACCAAATTCATTTGTGGGCTCACATTTGTCCACCGGGAACGCATATGGTCTATTTATGGACTCAACAAAATACTCCCAAGCGCGCTGGTGGCTGCAACCAACTATAAAAACAAATTAAATGACATAAAATAAATTTCTTAATTATAAGAAGCTTCTTCTCACTCACTAATTATGTTCAACCAGCGATTATTCGCTATCTCTTGGCGAGCACAACCCGGTTGTAAAGCTCGACCCCCGTTGGGATAAAAGTCTGCATGGCCCATAGCTTCCGGATTGCCTAGAATACCACCGTCAGTGTGTATAATATCGACAAAACGTGCATCGGTGTGGGTTAAATAGCGATTACCGCTATTTGATTCGAAGAGTGGTAATGGTGGATCGAGACCTAGAATTTTATTTTCTTTGTTAGCACTTGAAAGGTATATTTTAATATTTGACGTTATTAAAAAGATAACAATTAATTATTTTTTTATTTTAATAAAAGGATAAGATTAACAAAAGATAAATATTGTATTTTACTAGTATACCCTTGCAATGGGTGAGCTCTAACGTACACAAAATATCACACTTTTTAATAATTACAACAACACCAATATTTATTTTTAATTTAACCAGCCATTAGCTAGCATTATGTTTCACTGCCATTTATTTGCTTAAAATGTGAATACGTTTATCGCCTTCTGTTGTTGTATTAATTTATATAGTCAACTAAACACACACAAAACCAAAAGCAAATATTTGGGTATTTGTAAGTTGTGTTGTAAAATTCTTATAATTTTAAGTTTTATTTTTTTCAAGAAAATATGGTTAAATTTGGAAGTACTTTACTTGTGTATTACTTATTCTACTAATGGGCTAGTTTTCCCTAAGCAAGTGTGTCACTTAAAATCCCTGAAGGCATTTAGAGCACTGGCAATTGCTCAGCATTCTCATTTTGTTTGTTGTTGATTTTTGAGAAACTACGATGGCGGTTCATTAGTGTTTTATTTTGCTTCACATATATTTCACTATTTGGTGGGTATACTTTTTGTGTAGGCATACATCTTTATCATTTGTTTAATCGAGATTTTAGCTAATAAATTGAGGATCCAACAAGATTTAATATTGCCTAGAAATTTAAAAAAATGATGGTAATACAGGCTTATTTATTACATGAACAGTGCTTTATTATCACTTTCAAAACATAATAATTTTGAATCAACGTTCATGACACTGATTACTTTTTTTCCAATCAAAACAATCATTTGCCTTGCCAGACTGTTCTCTAGTTTGTCAGCACATTTATTTTTGTAGTCTTACTTGTTTACTAACGTATTTCTAATGCAAAAAATCTGAACATACTCTAAAAAAATTACTTGTCACCAAAATTCACTTCTCACCTCAAAAATCATGAAAAAATCTCCAATTTCGTATTTTACCTTCATTACATTAATCAATATGAAATAATATAATTTTTCTAGTTCATTAGATGTAACTGAATTCCCTGCCTTGCATTTCCACTTCTAACACACACCAACTTACCGGTTATCCTTGGCAATACGACGCCCCACTCCAGCAGCTGCTTGCCAACAAAGCCCGCCACCTCGGCGCCCAAACTAAAACCAATCAAATGAATGAGCCGCGCTTGATAGCCGTTAGCAACGAGAAAACGCAAAAAACGTGCGATGAAACGCGCCGCCACCGGCAGATTTTCAACAGCGTTTGTGTACCAAGGCATCACTGTCATGGGACTCCAATCGACGAGGATGACATTGTAATTGCCCGCTTTCAAAAAGGCTGCAAAGCAAACGTGAAAAAATCGAATTACAAACTATGCAATAGACTGGGGCAAGGAAATGAGGTGGAAGGAATTAAAAAGACGAAAAAGCAGCGGATAAGCACGCGAAAATGTGTAAAGCGCTAAACAAAATATGCGGACACGAGCGTAAGTGGCTGAACGGTTTGTGACTGAATTCGCCATTAACGGCCCTCATCTGTCACTCGCGCTAGCCGCGCAAAATACACAGCAAAATCGGAAAGCAATTTATGTTTTCATTTCAGATTTCACTTTACCGAATTTTGATTTTCACTGATTGATTGCAATTCAATTTCAATGCGATTTTAATTTGACAACGAGGACGGATGTAATCGGCAGCGTATGCAGAAATGTCATCGCGAATTTTCCTCTTCCTGTATGCTAATCGATATCTACGTGCTGGAGGACAACGCTTACCTACCCCTCCGTTTGCCCCCTTTCACCCACTCACTTACCGTCTTTTAACTGTTGACTACTTTGACTGTCGGCAATGGCCGACTCCGAGAAGCCATGTATGTAGAACGCCAATGGCTGTTGTAAATCGAAATTACTTTTTGACAAGCGTCCTTCATCGGACAGGTAGAGATTTTGTGGACTTTGCGAATTTTTGCTGTAAGTGGACAATTTGAAAGGAAAGCATGAAAAAATTGTTTGAAATGGATTAGAGCGAAAAATGTTATGTGTTAAATGTATTGTATATAGATCCATGCAAAGTTCAGTCAAGCACAGGATGAGCCGTAAGGTTTACTTTCAAAACATTTAAAAATAAACGAAAATGGCTGGTACAGAAAACACGGTTGTAATAGAATTTGTGGGGCATGTAGCGTCATAGTAATGAATCCAAAAATACCCAAATTTCCACTCTTCAGAAAACAAATGAACTAAATGTTTATCAAGCCTCTTTGGGATTGGTTACGGGATCAAGGGAATCCAAAATTATTGAAAATGAACCTCCGATTATTAACGTACATTCCGCTTTCCAGGAAGACGTCCAGAAATAGGGGTCTGGTGATGAGAAAGAATTTTTTGGTTAAAATTATCTCAAATCCAAAAACCAAAAAAGTTTATTATTAATATATATGTATGAATACAGGTAATCATAGAAGAACTGGTCAATATTTTGATTTAGGAAAAAATGGCGGCTTCCCAAGAAAGATCGTGCGAAGTTCCAGCCGTTTCGGAGAACTTTTGCACTTTTGAAGCTAGAAATACTTCATAGTTAGATGTGTTTTGATGCCAGCCAAATCAGTTATAGGTATATTTACCTTGATCTCGCAAAGGCGAGAGATTTAAAAAGGAAATATGAATTTCACCTCGTTATCTTCGAGCAATGTTCAGTTATGACCCATTGAACGAGGAACATCTATGATTTTCCTCGGGTGACGACAGATATGCATGTAGTTGATCAGCGCTTTTAAACTCATATGAGGTCTAATTATCCAGTAGTAAACAGCTAGAAGACAGAGTCAGATGCAAATGTCTGAGTTCAGCTGTTAACGAAGAAATAAAAAAAGAGCCTTCAAATGTCCACACTTCGTCCTGCCTAAAACCTATATTCCTGATATTTTCCAAGGTATATTAAATTTGCAACGAAGTTTGCAATACCCAGACGAATGTACCGAAAACCCTATAGAGTATATATATATATATATAAGTGATGAGGGTGACGAGTTGAGCCGATGAAGTCATGTACGTTTTGAGATATCGATTTGAAATTTCGCACAGATCCTTTTATCCCCAATAACATGCTAATTTGTCGGAACCGCCGATATAGGAATATTATATGAGATAGAGGCCATACAAAAGGATCGGTCAACCTATAGTATATAGGTGCCATACAATCTGACCTATCAAAATTAAGATAAGATTTTATTATCTTTGCTATAAAGATGCACTTGTGAAGGGTATTATTCCATCAGCGCAGCCGAAGTTAACGTTTTTTCTTCTTTTTCTTCGAAGTGCTTGGTTTCTATGGAAAATTTCTGCTGCACTCTCATTCTAATGTAAATGTGGTGATTCATTGAATACCTATACGAGAATAATATATCCATATGTCATACTTACTTTGTGTAGAGTAAAAAATTAATATCCTTTCGTTCACGTATCGCGCAGCAATTGGAGCAGACACCACGTGGCGCAGCGCTATAGAATATTGGCGAACCAGCTGTGGAAAAATTAAACAAAATTAAGAAGCGTTACATGAGTAAACAAATTATTTAGTGCGAATATAGTAAGTAAGAAGACGAATATAAAAGTAAAGTGAATTAAAATAAAGCTGGCAGCACTCTCAAACAAAGTGGGAGAGCTGAAAAACTAAACATATAAATACACATGTAGGGCTGACTACTGCAATTATTTTTTCCTGATTTCCCACAGCGCTACAATGTCTAGCCTCAGTTGTAAGTGGCGCCAAAGTACCGAAGTTAATGTAGGCTAGCAGACAGTTGAAGCATCGTTGACATACTTTAATATAGAATATATGTGTACCTATATTGAAAAAGAAGCTTCGAATAAAATTTTTGGTGGTACTCGACACCGAACGATACATATATGGAGCTTTTGGTAATAATTAGACGATAGTTCGGTTTATAAGGTAGAATTTAGTAATAAACTGCCGCCACCTGACGCTACAAAAGTAGAGGTAAGGAAATGAATTTATATTTCCACATGGAAGTCCTTCAATATATGTATTACTATCACCTGTGATTAGGTTCGGTTAGGTTACGTTAGATGGCTGATCCCTCGGCAAAGCGGAATACAAAGTACGCTACCGCTAAGAAATTTAAGTTCTAAAAGAATTTTTCTTTTTATTTGTAATTATATGCTTATCACATTTTTTTCAAACGGTATTTGGGATAAAAAGTATAAAAATTACAATAGTTTTTAAAAAAAATGTTTGGGATTAAAAAAAAAAAAATTTTAATGTTAGTTCAATTACTTTTTAATGCAATATTTCCAACACTGCTTTACATCGTTTCAGTTTTATCAAATAGGAGGCAACTTTGTAACTTTTTAAATTGTCACCTCAACCCAATTGAAGATATATGAAAAAATTTAATTACCATCATTAAAGCGACTGTTAATTTGCCTATTTCATTCTTTTTGAATTGCATTTTCCGTTCTCATTTTATTTAAATCAAATTAAAGTTCACCAGCTTTGTATTTACTTAGTCATGAACTACGTGTGTTATAATCTCATATGAATCTACAAAACTATTTAAACAGTCTGAAATGAAGCCATAAAAAATTACTTAGCATCGTAAAAACCACAAAAATTAAATTAGTTAAAAATATTTGATGGTTTCCGGTTTCGTTTTCGTATTTTCGATTAACTTGGGAACACTAATTTGATTACGCTCAACTTTGGGGACTTAAAGTAATTTAATTACCTCGCTGACGCTAAAAGTAATGTGAATAATTGGTTTTAAGAAGAATATCCGGGACATTCTTTGATAACCTGACCATATTGTGCTGTTTGTTAATAATTTTTATTCTCTAGTAATATGTTGCTACAGAGTATAATAGATATAGGGTTGTATATATACAAATGATCAGGATGAAGAGACTAAGCTACATAGTAAGATACAAGATTGTTATTTGGTATAACGAATCACATTAGGAAGGAGCATCTCCAGTTAACTTTTTTTATTTTTTTGTTGATAATAATATGCCTGATTGCCAAAAATGGGTTGAATCGGATCAATAATTTCCTTAGTCCTTCCGGGTGTCTTTATACCACATATATTAGTCAATATATTAGATATCTTAATAAAGTTAAGTGGGAATATTTCCCTGATAAAAAGGATAAAATCGGTGAAAACTTGCCCTATCCCCTATATAACTAATATAAGATTTTCAATCTACCGGGCAACAAACCGAAAATATCGGTCAGTATGAACTGAGTGTGTAATATTGGATAAGCTATAGTTTAATGCCGAAAATAAATGACGCCGACTCCCATATACTACATATAATGTTTTTCTTTATTCTTACAAACCTTATACCCAATATGTCGGTCAGTATGTGAGTTATTTATTTATGCAATCGCTTGAAAATATGTGCTCGAGTATACCTGACGGGAAGGGAAGCCTTCTAGCGAGAGTTTATTATTTTAGCAGTAATTCGTCAAAACCGCATCCAACAACTCATACGATTCAGCGCGAAAAAAGAAATATTAATATTAACTATATGTTAGAACAAACAGATTTTTATCAATTCATATTAAAGTTTTATACAATTGTATTCCAATTTATTATTATATTTAAATATATTATAATTTGAGCCTATCAAACTGAGTCTAAAAAAATGTAAATATTTTTCTGGTGTTTTTCTAACCATAACTGCTTGTCGCTCTGCTACTCAAGTGCTCACTTTACATACTATTTTTAATTTATTTACAAAGTTTTTTTTTCGCATTTCCGCTTTGGCCATTCGCTTCGCGTCAATACGCATTTGCTGATTTTACAAGCCAGAGCATGAAGGCCGCTGTACATAAAAACGAATCGACACTATAGCCAATACAAACTAATAAATAACTGAACAATGCTGATGACTTCGCGAGCTTAATTTGATTGCCGTCATGAACTTGAATTGTAAGCAAGTTCGCACGACATTAAGATGCGCTGTTTGCAGACAGACCGAAGGTATTTGACGTTGTTATTATTTTTATTATATTATTTGTTTATTTTTGCGAATATTGCGAGCAATAAGGCGGGACTGATTATTAATTATTGTAGCGCTAAAATTTGCTCATTATTTACCAAAAAAATAAATAAATTTAACTATACATTGGACTTGGCACACTATCGGCTATTTGCGGTCGCAATAGATAGATTTTTGCTAATGTTTTGGTGAAATTTTTAAAGTATTTTTCCAATTTTTATATTTTTTATAGAATTATTTGTATATAACATTATTAAGTCAACTTATTTTCTGATACTTTAATGCTAATGAACTACTTATCAATGTCATTTGCTTAAACTCAACATCAATAAATCCAATTATAAATACAAATATACATAGTTCTTCCTATTTACCTTTCGTAATATTATATTTAATAGTTTTGCGAACTTACTCAAACAGTTATCGCTGAGCAAATTTACATAAGTAACTAGCACGCAGCTGCTGATATGTAATTATATATGTATCTAAGTATGTTGAGATGAGTTTTTTGCTACAAACTTGATTCAGTGATGCTCAGTTCATTTCAGTATTACCGGCATCATGAGCTCTTATTTGATTAAGCACAAATAAATTATATCTGAATCTGTTTCAGAGGCACTTTACTTTCATATTTAAGTATTATGAGATCTACATCGGTCTAAGCGATTACTGACGTTCAAGGGGAATTAGCTGGGTCATGAAAGGCATGAGAGTCTTTTTATCGTCGAGATCTTAAACTGCTCAGATTTAAAATTACATTACGATAACTTTTTATGCTTTTATTTATGAAGAGAAATATTATTGCTTTTTTTAACGTTAAAAAGTGACGCAAATAAATCCAATATGCTGGAATAAGAATCAAAACCATGGCATATGCGGCCATATATTTCGTTTAGTTCAAAATTAAAGATTTATGATACCTCGTGAGCGACGCAGGAATTTAATTTAGCTTCAGACAAGAGAAAAGAACTATAAGCTGATCCATTCAGAAGTTAAAGCAAGAATATTATTTCAAGCATTCCCGTACGACTAGTCAGTGTAAACAGTGTACGGAGGAAGACTTAACCTAGAATCACATCATAAATTTCCTAAGGAATAACGTAGAAATGTTTTTAACGAACTATAACTTATCAAAATGGAAAAATTTGTAACTACGGTTCCAATGGCCAACTTTGTCCATGGCAGAGATCATTCAGATTTCAAAACAACAACTACACCGTATAGCGGTTTTCGTGAATACTCTCAATAACCATATTTCTCACTGCCATAAATTAGTATGGCTTGCATGCGTAATTAATGAATTTTCGCTAAAAAAAACGCGAAATTAGTTCTTTACACTAGATTAACTTCAAGTTTCTTTGTTTATCCACTGGCTTTTGGTGTGACTTTTATAACTACTTTGTGAATTTTTTACTTAGTCTCATTCTTATTATTGGCTTTCAAATTTAGTGCAAGAATCTATCAATAATTTACAAGTAAATACGAAAAATAGACTTTACAGAACTGCTAACCCGATAGATTAAGCTAAAGGGCCATATAGATCTAAATCCCTGGTTAAACTTTGGGTCACGCTTGGGTCACACATCAAGTTGCCAAAAAGTTTTATCATACCCAAAACACTCTAGTGGAGCCCTAAAGTTAAGTGTGGAACTTATAGCTTTACAGAATGTTCTATCCTGGAGTGGTTTTTACGGCTTAGACTTTATTTACTCCTCACTCGCACAAACTAAACGCCCCACGTGAAAACAACTCTAACAATTTTTCATCAACCCAATTGCCTTGATCAATATTTGGAATGTTTAAATATAAAGACCCTGCCCATCAATATTAATTTATTTAATATCAGAAGATATTTCGCGAACACTAAAGCATTTGAGAGCCCCTTGTGTGCGTAGTGAATTGAATTAAATTGTTTCTTGGCACCCATGAATTAATGTATATAATGGAGACCGTTTGTAAGTGGAGTGTACAATATTAATATGCACGCTTGACCTAACATTATAAATGCGGATCGACTGAAATTTTCACAAGCAGATTGGCAATGAAAAGTTATTTCAAAGGTATGAAAATTACACAGTCCCTTTAGTAAGCTAGTGTAAAGTAAATCAAAGACTTCATTATTCTAAAAACTTTACTAAAAACCAAACAAAAAATGCATACATTTTCAAACTTCTACATACTTGTATATAGGTAGTAGCATATATGAATCTAACTCTAATGATTTAAGAGTTGAGACGATTATCCAAAAACTCTCGAAAATTTAGTTCAAATTTATTTTCCGTTCTTGAATGGAAAAATGTATATGGAATGAACCCCGCTGTTTCATATTTACGCTTGACTCGCTATTGGGGACTCGGCCATATTGTTAAGATGGTTAAAGTGCCGTTTCGGGGAAACGGATCTCGAAAACTCAGATAAAAAAAGTTTCAAAAAGCATTAGACTGTAATATCCATTAATCTTGCAATTATATCGGCATCGGCGTAATCTCAATCACCTCCTAATAAATGCGAACAGTTCTCAGCAAATGAAATATTTCTTTATAATTTAGATTTTAGACGGGTTATGTTATTCAGAGCGAAATACATGAATTTATATCAAACCGGTTTGATTCACGATTTAAGCAAGCTAAATTCAAAATTGTTCTAGGAAATTTATTCGATAGAAGAATTAAAAAAAATTATGTTTAGCTGACCAAAATGAGAATAAAAAAGAACTTTTATTCCTTAATAAAAATCTTTTGAAAACGGGTTTACACAATTTGACTCTATTTTATTATACCCTGAACAGGGTACGAAGTTCATAACACTCAGACACATAACTATAAAGTATATATATAAATGCTTAGCGCGATGAGCTGAGTCGAGTTTAGCCAAGTCTGTTTGTTCGTCTGTCCATCTATATATATACGAACTAATCCCTCAGCTTTTGAGATGTCGATCTAAAATTTTGCACGAATCCGTTTCTGTCAACGAAGTCGCAGACTTGACGGAACCGTCAATATCCGAACGATCGGAATCAAGTTGTTGTATGAAAAACTATATGAAAACTATAATTTCCGAAGAAATTGTGCAGATCGGATCACTATAGTATATAATAGCTGCCATACAAACTGATCGATCGAAATCAAGTTCTCATTAAGAATCTTATGTAAATATTTCCGAAGGTTTTTTTTTTGTTTCTTTAAAATACTCTTTTAAGCTTCCTTTGTGCTAATACATTATATTAGAATCCAAATTAATAGCTTTTAATCTCAACTTTGTTCATTTTTGTACACGAAATCGCGCAGTATTGCTGGAAAACCAACCATATAGTTCTCTGTACTCACCTATCAGTATCGAAAATATTCCACATAATGTTGAAGTAGCAGGAAGCATACTTGCTGCTGTTGAAGGTCAAATTTAGTACACACAATTTGTGTATTTAGTTTTGGTTTAGTATTTGTTTTTTTTATTTTTTATTCGAGTGTTCGTAGGTGTTGCTTTTTTAAGCAAACAAAAGGCGATCACTGTTCAATTCTTGTTTCTATTGTAGTTAAACGATAATAGTTAGCAATAATTTATATTGGATTGTTGCTAGTTAAATTGGAGGTTTTGGCATCATATTTACGTATATACATCTTTTTAAACCTGTCGCAAAGCTTTTTGACTAACTTTTTAATACATGAATATTAAACTTTTACTTCAAAAACTTTTTACATACAAGTATATACACGTACATCTGTATATGGGTATAAATATTAGAAAACCCTGTTTGTAACATTTTTATAAGTATTTGTCGAAACGCTTCCGGTTTTAAATTTAAAACCAAATACTTTTCACTTTCTTAATTATTTTTATTGATATACATGTAGTTATATTTATCAGAAATTCACTGAAAGCATATGTCCGTTTTATACCATATGCAGTGCACCACATTAAAGAATTATAACCATTGTGTTTATTTTATAAAATAAGTATCTCGTTTCAGAATTTTTATTAAAAATTGTTAAAAACAAAAATTATTCTAAGATTTTTGACATTTATTCTAACTCTTTCTTAATATTTTACATTCTTATCATATAGTAAGGTAATAATTATTTTTATACATTTTTAAATATATATTTTAGTTTTTTAAGAGCATTAAAATTTTCAAATTATATTCATAATTTAGCGGTAATAATATAATGAATTTTAGCGAGCTGTTGGAGCTAATTACCCTGGGCGTTTCGTAATTTTTCTACTTATGGCGGAAAATGTTTTTTGTTTTTATTTTCAAATTTGTTGTTATATTTTTCATTTTATCCATAAAATTCATTCTAATTTCTTAAAACAATTCATAAATAAATTTATTCAATTTATTACTATATTAATTAGGAATTAAAATGTATAAAGTTTAGAACTATACATTATTGTTTTTTTTTTTAATTTATTGTTTATTTGGTTTTTCAAGCTTTTGCGATAATTTTACAAATGTGAAACAAGCAACAATATTTTTATATTTATAATAACAGTTCAAAAAATAAAGAAATTGAAAAATAACACAAATCTATATCAAAATTTTAATCTAATGGAAAAAAATATATATATATAAATTTTTTAAATTTTTTCAAATTTTAATTTCATAATATTTTAAGCTTTACTTTTTTAATTTAAAATTTCTTAAAGAAAAAGAGAAGGGATTTTCTAATTTTTTTTTTAATTTTTGTATTCAATCAAAAATATATAAATTTTGATACTAAATCTCAGAAAAAATTACTATATTTTCTCTTTAATTTTATTTCTTTAATTTTTAAAATTGGTAAAAATGTTTAAGGTAACAATTATATTTAATAAATAAATAATATTATTAAGTTTTTTATGTTAGTTATTTTGTATTCCAATTATTACGTTTTATTGTTTTTTTTTAATTCAAAATTATAATTTTGCCTGTTGTATTTAAAGCTTTATTAAAAAAATTATTTTTGATTTTAATATATTTTGCTCAAAATATTTTATAGTTATTATTTCTTTCAGCACTTTTTAGCGTATTTATTTTATATTCGAATTTAATAAGAAACGATTTATTATATTTTAAAATTATTTTGTACTGCCTGTTTGTATTTTCTTTGCTTTTCTTATTTTAAATATTTTATTTTTTATACGTTTGTATACAAAATATACTAGAAGTGCACACAATTATCACAACTTTTTACTAAAAAAAATTATTAAAAAAAAACAATACTAATTTCTTTCCATCACACACCTGGCTTCCCCTCCACGGAATTTTATTAAAGTATAATTGTCAACTCTATTTCTCAAACCCAACATCTAGATAATTTTTATTGCAATACAAAGATTACAGAAAAATTTAATTCACTGTTCTAACCGTTTGTCTTCTGCTTGTTATGCTGCGTCGCGCGCTTGTTTTGCAACCAGTTCCATGCGAGTAAAAATCCACACTAAACTCATGCTATGCGAAGATGTTCTGCTCGAAGTTGTGCTTTAGACTTGAAACAAGTGCAAAAAGTAAAATCATAATACAGATACTGAGCAAACTACACAAAAGTACAGAACAAAGCAGCGAACAGGGCGCGCAGCGCCAACAGCGCTTCATAGCGAATCAGCTCTTTATATTTTGCTTAATTGCATATTAAAATTCGCTTAAACAACTATAGTAGCAGCACGAATAATAAAAAATGATAGTGATTGTAGCAAAAACAAAATAATAGTAAATACAAAGTGGGAAATAAATGAAAAAATCAAACGCCAAAGCTTAGAGCCAGGCAAACAAAAGACTTAAGCCACGAACTTGCGCTCAACAAGTACAATGTACGCTCTTCTCCCTGAAATGAGAAATACAGTGACGTCAAAGGGACGGTTTATTGTGATATAGTAGCAATAGCAATAGCCGGTTGTTGTTGCCGTAGCTAAATGCTCAATCGTAAACAAACGTTGTGCGACCCAAAAGAGGCGCTGTGACTTTTTCCTTTTCTTTTACATGGTGTTTGTGTAAAAGGTGTTAATTTACAAAATTGCTTGTTAGCAGAGTTTATAGTTTTGGCGTTTGTTATAACTTATGTTTTCATGTTTTACATTTGCTGAACCTTTAAGCTCGTAGGAAAGATTTTAACGCCTTTAGTTGGTTTCATCCACAAGCAGGCAGTGAAGGTCAAATACAAATGATGGGTAAAATTGATTTGTTAAACGCAGTGGCATTAAAGAACTGATATGCACAACCGAAAATAGTGAGTAAAGAAATGAAAGTTTTATATAATTTCGAATTAATTTGGTAAAATCAATTAGTTCTTGGACTTACCGACTGAATTAAAAATTAAATTAGAAGGTTATAAATAAAAAAATTATCGGAGATATGTGTCTAGGTATATGTCTATTATTATGTCTATGTTTATTTCTATTCCGTTCCATTGCATCCCTATAAAATTATTCTCACTCAAAAACTGAAGTTATTGAAGAGCTTGGAGTTTCGATAATTTCAAGATATTGTGACATTGAATGGCCTCTAAAAAGTTGTGATTTAACAACACTAGACTACTTCTTGAAGTCACTGGTCTCTAGCAATAAACCAGACTCTCTTCAAGCGTTAGAAGTCAATATTGAACGTGATATTCATGACATACAACTTCATCAGAGCTATCGTCACGTTATCTTAATGTGGATCTATGGTTTATATCTTGCTTTCTGTTGGCTATTTTATTCCTCTATTGACTGTTTTTCAGTAAAAATAAAGGAAACTTACATCAGAGAATATTAGAATCACCCCGTTCGTGAATTTTTTAACAAGTTTCCAAAGCAGAATGAAAATCAACAACAAAATCTGCATAAACATTCCCTCATTAGTATTTGCTATAATTTCGAAGTTTAACAATTTGATTGATAGCCGTTCAGAGTCGCGTGCGCTGCACACCTGCGCTTCTTATTTGAATTATTTCCGCACTCAGCTGCGAGCGTTTATAAGTCTTTGGCGCATATTCTTTATTCAGTTAACAGCGCCAACGAGTACGCAGCTTAACACTTCCCACTTTTTCTTATTGAATTTCGACTGCTTACAATGTGGCTGCCTAACTAAATATGTATGTACATACGTCCAAGTTACATACGTGGGAAAATTTGTTTCCGTATTCTCTGCCCGGCTATTCTTTTTACTACTACACGGCGGGTATCAAAATAGTAATCTTAGAACGTTTTATGACTCTTTAAATTTTCATGCGACACGTTTTGTCATTAGCATTCGCTACGTGTCCACTTACTTACATTTATATGCATTTCATATCAATTCCTGAATACGATTATTTCCTAGAGTAGCTGCCAAATGTGGAATGTAAATAAAATTTGTACTGAGTAGTTAAGGCTGTGTTTTGTTGGTCTAGTTCACGTGTATGTGTTATTCGCTAATTACGTTAGCATCATTGCAGAATTTAATAATAATAAGAATAGAAAACAGGCGAAAAGGCGAAAAGGCTTCACAATATAGCAGATTTGATCCCTTAAACAATCTATTTTTATACTTTCACAGCGTGTTTTTCAGGGAGTATACTAGTTTTGCTCACCTATATACTCCCTTAATTAGAGAAGGGCTTTTATTGATTTAAATTTTTTTAAAAAGTTTGCGCAGCCTTGCTGTATTTCACGAACCAACAAAACTTCTTTTTCAACGAAAAACACACATAACGGTTATGTTGAATATTACAAATTGGACAATGGGTCTTAAGGTATGTCATCTCACATCCAAAAATAGGTTAAATCGGAATTACTTTCATTCACAGTAAAGTTGTAAAATTAACACATCTCCTAAATAAACTTCTAAATATATACAGTATCCCCCGGATAATTTCACTTCAAAAATTGCACAATATTTTATTCAATTAACCAGGGAATCAATTAACTGCTACTCGTTTAATTGAACAATTCGTTCAATTACAGGAATCCCGCTTAATTGGACTACCTAACCAATTAAAAAATTCATATGTGCACTTTAAGTATTTATTTAGTTTTTGGTAATAATAATTAAATAATAATTTAACCTTTAAACGGAAAAAATATAAGGAACAGAAACAAGATAATGCACTTATATATTTAGAGATCATTGTTGTAAAAAAAAAATAAACTTAAAGAACAAAATCAATTCATATTATTGTGTATATGCAGTACTTGCATTCACACATTAAGAGATCTTACTAACACTTTTAAAATGTTAATTTAGGAAGTCTGTAATTTTGTTTGTACATAAATTATTCAATCTACAGGAAACAGCATGCGATTCTATATTTTCTAATTCATACAAACCCTTTTTTTTGTGAATAAAAATTTGTTGAATCATCAGCCCCTCCAAAATATCTTCACCAATAATTATATACTTCCAATTGCTTTGCAGAGATGCCAACTGCTGCAAAATATGTGTATATGTGCGCCAATGTCTGATTATTTTTTTAACGAAAGAATTTTGGGTAATTAACCGTAGGAAATTAAAGGTATATATTTTTTTTCAATAACACATATTTTTAAACGGGCTCAATCGAGCGGGAAAATTTGCATGTATTTTGTTTGCAATATATTTTTGAGCGATCAGGTGATTCAAATAAGCGGGAAAATCAAGTAAGTGGGCCAATTAAGCGGAGATACTGTAATAACGAGAACAAAACTTGATACGAAAATCGCAACAGAAAAAAATACAAAAGAAGAAGTTCATCGATAAGCAATACGCCGTTAAACCGGAAGTATTCGGTCTTCGAGCAAAAGAGAATAGGAAATATGAAAAAAAACACAAGCAACAAATGGTAACACAGAAATAAGTTTTTGCACAATGCTAATAAAAACTGCACATAATCGTAAAATGTCGATCGCAAGCGTAAACATGCGCGCCAAATGCCGAGACACAACGGGCAACACAGCGCCCACAGAAATTTATGCGCCGCCACGGAGCAGTTGAACTATGCAGTTGTTTATCTGCTCGTTGCCAAGAGTATGTGCGAGTAAAAATGCAAAAACAATAGCAACAATGTAAACGAATTTCGATATAGTTTTTTATGGCCGAAGTAGCAAAACGCCTGCCAGCAGAACCGTGGAGGCAAATTTGGACGTCAGTGAACATGTCAACCGAAACCAATAAAAAACCACCTTAACTTGACAAAAGTCAAAACAATGCCAGTAGCATTTTCGTTTTCGCTTTCGTTTGAATTTTTGTTTTCTATTTTGCTTAAAATTAATTACAGCTTAACTGCTTTTCGAATTGATGCTACCGATCGACGTTCACGCAAAATATTCTGGTCAAGGTGAGCCGCCTACGCCCTGTTCAAGTAGAAAAATTAAATGTAAAAAATCTGCTACTGCGTCGTCGTTTGACCTACCCAACTATTTTAATTACTTGCTTGCCAACGAAAACGTGAGATTCCATTCCACCACTTCCTTTCACAGAATATCCGATTTTATAATACTTTTTTTTACATATATTTTTATATTTATATTTTTGAAATATTTTTTGAAGACAAAAGAGCTCCATTCCTTTCAATAATCCTTCTTTAGTGTGAAATTTCTTTACACACCACTATAAACTCGAAAAACTTCTGTTGACGTTAACTTCTATTGTACCGAAGCAGAAAACAAAAAATAATCATTAAAACTCAAAAGGTTACAAAATGAGTATAAAAAATGCATGAAAAAAACATGACCGAAAGTCGAATTCCTTTGTCAAGCGACGCGCCAGCCTTCCGTACGCGCAACATGACGTCACGGCATTCCTAAGTGACAGAAATATATGAAATAATTAAAGTAAGATTTTCAAGACTAACTGAAAGCCTCTATATTGACTTTACTGGAATAAACTTTTTTTTCGCAACGGAGAAAATGAGTTAATTGAAATCTAAAAGAACAAAACTGCATTGAATGTTGTTGTTTTACAATAAATTCATAAAATCACCAACTTCTCATTTAAAACACGTAGTTATCCACCATGCACCGACCTTTAAACATTGAATTAATTGTTGTTAATTCAGTGGTAATTAAATAAACATTTCAACTAATTAACTAAAATACGTAGTAATTATAATGGGGATATAAAATGTACTTGGCCACTGATATGGAAAATAAGTGCGAGTCGCCAATGCACCAAATATATGCATATACATAATCAAAAGGTAAATATATGCAAATATATACCCGCATTTAAGTACATATATACGCTTACCACCGAAAGGGGCGTGCTTTGCAAGGCCTAACGGTCAATGGCATTAATATCTTAATCATAACGTGTTTGTTGTCATGGCAAAATAACGCAGCTGGTTTATAGTCACGGCCAAGGTTATTATATTGCAGACTCTTTGAGCGAACCATATAAGAGTGAATTTACTATTTGAGGGGGATTTTTGGTGGAGAGACCTCAGTATAAGAAAAAAAACATAAAATAATATATTGATGAAAAAGGGTTTTGTCGATATTTTTTCATTATTTTCTTTCCGCTCGTTGATTCATCATAATTGTGTATGTGTTTTTGCTTATTAATAAGAAATGC